TAATTGTCGATTTGGGGGATATCGTTGAGTCCAATATGTGCCCAAGTCGGGCAACCTCACCTTTTTGATATAGGCATTGTTGCAATTCTTCTCGCGGGTGCTCCCCTTCCCCAGTAAAAGCTTGGCTGAAACTCGTTTAAGTAACGCTTTTGTTGTCCCTTTAAGAAACCTAGCATGTTACGGCATTTCTCCCTTCCTTCGCAGCTAAACCGTTCAAAAAACGCTCGGATCCAGTGACCCCTGTGCTACTAAAATAGAGCTTTGCAGAGAGATTTCTCAGTGCACTTGGGCGATCGAGCAGCCGAGAAGCGCCCAGTCGCAATCCAAACATCTCCGCTGCTGCGTCGTCGTCTCCGCCCATTCTGCGGAGATATTGGATAAATAGTCTGCGATCAGTCGAGCTTCACTGAAGTCGAAGCACGTACAGTTTTACCCATGGAGCAACAACTTTATCATCGTCCAAGACCAGGCGGTATGGCCGGTAAGTTCGAATAAGTATTTATTTTTTCGGTTATAATTACTCTATTATCTTGAACTTCTGTGGTCCCTTCCAACCATGTGAATGTGGTTACTGTATGTAGGGGTTTTTTGAGCGCTGTTTTGGCCCAGTTGTGCACGGTTGACGTTCGGAGTTCGTCAAGTCATCATTGCCTTTTGTCTGAGAGTCCTTTCTGTTGAAGAAGCATATGGATTGCGACATTTTGCCGAGTGAATCATCTTCACATCTCTTTAAGAGTTTAGTAGCTCGCAAACTTGAATGACTTCTCATTTCTCCACCGCACAATGGAGCAGTCCACGCGTGCGCCTCCTGCTGGGATCACAAGTGAATTCTGAGCTTTTTTGAACTGTTCTGAAAGTCTAATTTTGAATGAGTTTTCTGTTTTTCTGCGTAGTTTTCTCCTTCTGTTGACAGTTCAGTGTTCAGGGAAAATCCTCGACAAGCAAGCTAGCAAGTTTAACAATGAGGAGGCTCAGAATCTGATGGAATGGGTCAAGGTATTTTTTGATATTTCGTTTTTCCCATTGAGAATTTGTGTGCTTATTCGGTGCTCTCGCACGTGTTTCGGCCCTATGCAATATCCGGGGGCATCGTTTATGGTATGCATTGAACACGAGCGTAAAAGTTTTTTTTCTGTTGAAACGAGCTAAGCTTTAGCTGAGGAAGGTAGGGATCCATAAGTGTGTGAGCAGTTTCTCATTTAGCCCCAAAGTTCCTAACCCATTCCTATGCTGTGCCCTACAAAGCCCCTATCATTTCATAGCGAACCGCTTGCTTTCCTTTTTGTGTTATTAGCGTATAAAAGAGATAGGATATAGCTAATATATTTGAAATAAGTAAAGTACAAAAAGGCGCTGAGATAAGTTCCGATGCCTAATATTCCTTAATCCGATTTTTCGCATAGGATATTTATAATAACGATGAAATTGGAAGAGTTGTGGCTTTTGTGAAGTATTAGGTACAGAATACCCTGCGTGAGGGCTTAGCCAGGAACATCCAAACGCCCAATGGTTCAGATAAATTTGGTAATGAGCTTTTCGAAGGATACTGGTGGCTTCTAGACCAGCCGCGTGTGGGCGAAGGATTCCCTCACACGCTGTAAGCACAAAGGTTATGGCATTCCCACGGCGCTCGGAGTAGGCTGCGACGGCCAGAGTTCGACGATTCAGTACCTGCAAATCGACTCGATTCGTGGCGTTCGCAGTCGCATCGCGTACAAAGAATGGAGCCATTCGAGCGAATCGCTGGTAGCGTCAGGTCACCTAAAACAAAACATTTGCTCGTAGCAAGCCAAGACTAAGCCTAAGCTCAACCATAGACTTCAACATAGGGACCTTCCTAGGGGGACATTAAACGTCTTAGGGTCTTTCTTACCTAACTGACGACACTGGCGCTCACCGCTTCTCCATTGCTCGCAATGCAACGACTAGGTGTCTGCGCTCTCTTGAACAACGTGCTCTCTCGTGGGCTCTCTTTTTTTCTGTGCGCTGTTCTTCCTCCGTTCATAGTTGTGCCCACAAAAATGAGGGGCTCAATTTCTGTGCTTTCGTAAGTTCTTTGCCTTATTCTTTTGCCTAGTGCGTCGTTTATCCGACCCTTGTACTTTCAGTTCAAGCACATAAGCGCCAAATTTTGATTCACCCGTGTTCCTTTATGTTAATACCGTTTTTGAAAGCAGATTTTTTCAGTCACAGAATTGTTGTACACGCTCTTAATGCTAATTCTGGAATGCTGATCTAAGAAACTATTGGACGCCCCGTTTTGCGAGTTCCCCCTCCCCCTCCCTTTGAATATAATCAGTAAATAATTATAAACGGGCATTGGTCTCTTTTCGCACCGCTGTAACTAATGTGAGGTTGCCAGTAGGTGACGGCTGACGTGTCGTAAAGTGTACAGCAGTACGAATAGAACTGCGCAACACCCCTGACCAATAACATCTGGTGGCCCGAATCGCGCCAGTGAGCGCTCATTTTGAGGCTATTGCGAAAACGTCGTGTGCCCCGAGTGATGTTGTAATGGTAGTAGTGTGAGTGGTACGGAACGATCACACCTTCACAACCCTTTCAGCCCAATATTCTCACTTCGAGGTTCCATTTGCTATGAGGAGTTTACGGACTACTTGATTTTTCCTCAATGGTCCTGCCGCGATGGCTAGAGCACAGAGAACGGGTGAATGCCCTAGGACTAAGCCTTGGAGAGGAGAGGGACCCGCGAGAGAGCGCAGAGGCGGTTTAAAGGGCTGAGTTCAAGTAGTCCGTCGACCACTATGAGGACGAGAACCTCGCCTTATTCTTCTCCCATTAATGAGCCGATGCACAATGAAACATTCTTCGAATTTTATCCAGGACGCAAAAATTCAGTGCCTGATCTTCGATTGCTACAGTATTCGTGGCCAGTTGGGTTATTCCATTTTTACTCAGCGCTTGCCGTTTGACCCTTAGACCTTTCATTCTGACAGGGGACGAGTCGCCGGAGTCGGACGAGTTGAAGAATCAGCTCCAACTCAGAGTTGTTACCAGCCTGAGCCAAGTACAAGTATCGTCATAAAGTGCTGACGTGTGTCGCCACTCACTCCCCCCCCCCCCCTCCAACCGACTCAAACAATGGTCAGAAGTCGTGGTTTTGTGGAGTTTCACTTGCCACAACAGTGGTGCTTGACAGTGACAAGAAGCAGTGAGGCCGATTTACGGCATGTTTGGTAGGGTGGAAAAAGCACAACATTTCTTATTATTCATCTTTATAATAATAAACTAAAAGTCTTTGGCTTTGCTGACTTCATCTAAGAAGAAGGATCAATTTAGGGATTGATCGGTGAGGAATTCGACACCTCAGGCAGTAGGGACAACTTTCGCGAGCAGTTACGTGATGGGCAAAGGCTTTGCAAGTGAGTTATCTTAAGTCATGTTCCAAATTTGTCTTTGGTCCAAGTTCTACGGCATCTGGGTAGAAAGCCATCCCACACAGGTGAAGCCGTTCGTCTTCGTATAGGAACATATAAACTAGGCTTTTCCAAATTTTCAAAGGAAATATTTCGACAGACGTCAAAAATCGATTCTATGTTATGGTGACATCCCCGTAGCATCAATAAAACTATTTTTCGCAATCCCATTAAGAGTGATGGACCAGATGGCCAGAGGCGGTCCAAGGTATTTCGTCGTCTCAGTTTTATGGACCCTGTACGTCATTTTCGACAGCAAGTTCTCGAAAGCGTAAAAGAAACATTAGGGACGCCAGGAGCAGCCGTCACCCGTCAGCTTTTGTGTTAAACGTTCCCAA